TAGGTAGGTAGGTAGGTAGGTAGATAGATAGATAGATAGATAGATAGATAGATAGATAGATAGATAGATAGATAGGTAGATAGATAGGTAGGTAGGTAGATAGATAGATAGATATAGATAGATAGATAGATAGATAGATAGATAGATATAATATAGATATATTTGTATGCTAGTCCTGGAACTTGAATTCAGGGCCTGAGCTCTCCCTGAGCTTTTTTGCTCAGGTACATTCTACCAGTGGCATTCTACCACTTGATTCAGATCGCCACTCCCACATTTGTCTAATAGACTTTCCTGCCCAGGCTGGCTTCGGACTGCAGTCCTCAGATCTCAGCCTCCTGAGGATTACAGGTATAAGTCATCAGTGCCTGGCTTTTAGCTCAAGTCTTGCTCTGCCGCTGAGATTGGCTTTAACCTCTGCAGGGCTAGGATTACAGGTGTGTGCCACATCACTTGCTCAGCTATTATTCTCTATAGACATAGTGTCTCCTCCAGCCTACGTGGGACTGGCTGTTGCATACCCCAGTCTCTATTGGCTCCACGGTGCCCAACAGTTACTGGGTAAAGCTGTGAAAGGGTGGGAAGGCTGTGTGCCCTCACAGACACAGCCTGATCTGTCTGTTACAACCAGTAGGCAGGCAGAGATGCTGCGGCGTTGTGGATGTGGAGGCTTGAATAGAGATGGTGAAGGTCACCTCACTTGGTAAAAGATGTAATTAAAAGGATTAAGATGATGTAATCCTGGATTAGAGTAGTCCTAAGTCTAATTACAAATGTCCTTCTAAGAGACACACATGCCAGGCATGCTGGCTCATATCTATAATTCTATTCAGGAGTTGAACATTGGGAAAGGCCAAACCCAAACCCAAACTTTGAAAGACGCCATTGCAATAGCTGCGTATGGTGGCATTCACTTGCTACTCCAGCTACAGTGGAAAGCATAAATAAATAGGATGGCAGGGCACCAGTGTCTCATGCCTGTAATCTTAGCAACTCAGAAGCCTCATTGTTTTGTTTTTGCTTTTTTGGTTGGTTGTGGGGCTTGTACTCTGGGCCTGAGTGCTGTCCCCGAGCTCTTCAGCTGAAGGCAAGCGCTCTACCACTTGAACCACAGCACCACTTCTGGTTTTCTAGTGGTTTGTTGGAGATAAGAGTTTCATGGACTTTCCTGCCTGGCTTTGAACCTCGATCCTCAGATCTCAACCTCCTGAGAAGCTAGGATTACAAGCATGAGCCACCAGTGCCCGGCAGAAGGCTGAGATTTGAGGATCACAATTCGAAGATAGCCCAGGCAGGAAAGTTCATGAGACTCTCATCTCCAATTAATCACCAAAAAAGCCCAGACTTGGAGCTGTAGCTCAAGTGATAGAATGCCAGCCTTGAGCAAAAAAGCTCAGGGACAGCACCCAGGCCCTGAGTCCAAGCCCCACAACAAGCACAAACAATAAATAGGAAGATGACAGACTAGACAGGCTCAGGCAAAAAGATGAGATCCTATTTTATCAACAACCAGAGCAAAAAGGGCTTGAGGTGTGGCTCAATCAGTAGAGTGTCTGCCTAACAAGTGAAAAATCCTGAGTTAAAACTAAGGACTAGCCGGGCGCTGGTGGCTCACACCTGTAATCCTAGCAACTCAGGAGGCTGAGATCTGAGGATCGAGGTTCAAAGCCAGCCCAGGTAGGAAAGTCCGTGAGACTCTTATCTCCAATAAACCACTAGAAAACCGGAAGTGGCTCTGTGGTTCAAGTGGTAGAGCGCTTGCCTTGAGCTGAAGAGTGCAGGGACAGCGCCCAAGCCCAGAGTTCAAGCCCCAAGACTGACCAAAAACAAACAAAAAACTAAGGACTAGGGGCCGGGGATGCAGCTTAAGTGGTAGAGTGCTTGGCTAGCATGCATGAAGCCCTGGGTTCAATTCCTCAGAACCACATAAACAGAAAAAGCCAGAAGTGGCTCTGTGGCTTGCAAATGAAGCTCAGGGACAGTGCCCAGGCCCTGAGTTCAAGCCCCAGGACTGAGAGAGAGAGAGAGAGAGAGGTGTCTCTTGGAGGGGTGGGTACATTATGAGCAAACCTGAGTAAGTCCAGAGCAGTGGGCTACTCTTCCCTGTATGTTTATTTATTTTGTTGATGATGGGAGTTTTTTTTTGTTTTTTGGTCAGTCATGGGGCCTGAGCTCTGGGCCTGGGCGCTGTCCCTCAGCTCTTCAGCTCAAGGGGAGCACTCTACCACTTGAGCCACAGTGCCACTTCTGGTTTTCTGGTGGTTTATTGGAGATGAGTCGCACAGACTTTCCTGCCTGGGCTGGCTTTGAACCATGATCCTTAGATCTCAGCTTCCTGAGTGGCTAGGATTACAGGCATGAACCAAGGCACCCAACTGTATGTTTATTTTTCTGTACTAGTCCTGGAGCTTGAAATGGGATCTGGGTGCTGCTATCCCTGAGTGTTTTTGCTCGAGGCTAATTAATGCTTTATCATTTGAGCCACACATCCACTTCAGATCAACTGAAGAGTTCCACAGACTTTCCTGCCTGGGTTGGCTTTGAACATCAATCCTCAGATCTCAGCCTCCTGAGCAGGTAGGATTACAGGAATGAGCCATCAGTGCCCAGATGACTATATGTTTAAATTTAAAACAAAATATGAGAGGCTAAAGGTCAAGATTGTCATCTAGGCAGATAGGCTGTGTGTGTGTGTGTGTGTGTGTGTGTGTGTGTGTGTGTGTACACCAGTACCAGGGTTCGAACTCAGATCCTTGAACTCTTGCTTTGCTTTTTCCAATTGAGGCTGGTATTCTATCACTTGAGCCATACTTCCACTTCGGGATTTTCGCTGGCATATTGGAAATAAGAATCTTGTGGACTTTCCTGTTCTGGTTGACTTCACACTGTGACCCTCAGATCTTAGCCAAAATTACAGGCACGAACCACCAGTGAACCACTTTAGAGAGGGTTAATTACTCCTACTTGATAAATGCAACCTTCCCAGTAAAAGCCAAAGTGCTCCCTCCCCGGGGGTCCCCCGCTCCACCAGCTACCCTCTACTCAAACCACTCCTCTCTGCTCCTCACCCCCCAGCCTCAGTCCTGACCCAGGAACTTTGCCTGGGAGGGTCTGGCTGCCTGGACTGTTCTTGTTCCCGGTGGAAGCTGGTGGCCAGCAGGTTTTACCCAGTGCCACATGGTGAGGGCCCAGGCCGACTCCCTGCACACTCTTTTCTCGGCTGTATTTCTCCCCTATTATCCCTTTCCTATAATTTTATTTTTTTTTTTGTCAGTCATGGGGCCTGAACTCTGGGCCTGTCTGCTGTCTGCTGTCCCTCAGCTCTTCAGCTCAAGGCTAGCGCTCTACCACTTGAGCCACAGTGCTACTTCTGGCTTTTCTATTTATGTGGTGTTGAGGAACCGAATTCAGGACCTCATGCATGCAAGGCAAGTACTCTACCACTGAGCCACTTTCCCAGCCCTAACTATATTTTATACAGATAGGCTCCGTGTGTGTGTGTGTGTGTGTGTGTGTGTGTGTGTGTGTGTGTGTGTGCTGGTTCTGAGTTTTAAACTCAGGGCCTTCTGCTCTTGCTTGGCTTTTCTGTTCAAGGCTGTTGCTCTACCACTTGAGCCAGAGCTCCACTTTGGGATTTTTGGTGGCTAATTGGAGATAAGAGTCTCACAGATTCTCCCTCCCAAGCTGGCTTCGAACCATGATCCTCAGGTCTCAGCCTATTGAGTAGCTAGGATTACAAGTATAAGCTACAGGTGTGACTGTTTCCTAAATTTTTTTTTGGAGGGGGGTCTGGTCATGGGGCCTGAACTCTGGGCCTGGGCGTTGTCCCTCAGCTCTTCAGCTCAAAGCTAGCGCTCTACCACTTGAGCCACAGTGCCACTTCTGGCTTTTTGCTTTTTGCTTATGTGGTGCTGAGAAATTGAACCCAGGGCCTCAGGCATGCAAAGCAAGCACTTTACCACTGAGCTACCTTCCCAGCCCTCCTCAAATTTTTTAGGCAGGGGGTTCAAAGACTACACTGGAGCACAAGTCCAGGAGGAGGAGGAGAAAACAAGGACAGGGATTTCCTGGGTTTGGATTTGTCTTGGCCCTTGGTAAGACCTGGAGTTAGTAAATTTGTCTTGCTGGGCCTTTGTTTCCTCAGTTAGGGCTCAACCACATGTTCAAAGTTCATGCCTAACAGCCCCCACCCAACCCCAGCCCAGATAACACAAGAGTCTGGGCGGGTGACTTTATTGTGAGTCCCATTAGGCCAGGTGTTTCAGGTGGGAGTCCCAGCGGGCCAGGTGTTTCAGGTGGGAGTCCCA